ATATATATATATATATATATATATATATATATATATATATATATATATATATGTGTGTGTGTGTGTGTGTGTGTGTGTGTGTGTGTGTGTATATATATATATATATATATATATATATATATATATATATATATATATGTGTATATATATATATATATATATATATATATATATATATATATATATATATATATATATATATATATATATATATATATGTTCTGGACTGGGCCGAGGCTTAGCCCACAATCGAGAAGGCCCAAGTCCCACTGAGGTTGGGCCCAATTGGACCATACTGATGAGCACGGCAGGTGTCCATCCTGTCGGGCAGAACCTCCTTCCGTCGGGCAGGTGCCCATCCCGTTGGGCAGAACCTCCTTCCGTCGGGCAGGTGCCCATCTCGTCGGGCAGAACCTCCCCCCGTCGAGCAGGTGCCCATCTCGTCGGGCAGAACCTCCTTCCGTCGGGCAGGTGCCCATCTCGTCGGGCAGAACCTCCTTCCGTCGGGCAGAACCTCCCCCCATCGGGCAGGTGCCCATCCCGTCGAGCAGGTGTCCATCTCGTCGGGCAGAACCTCCCCCCGTCGAGCAGGTGCCCATCTCGTCGGACAGAACCTCCTTCCGTCGGGCAGGTGCCCATCTCCGGGCAGAACCTCCTCCCGTCAGGCAGGTGCCCATCTCGCCGGGCTGAACCTCCTCCCGTCGGGCAGGTGCCCATCTCGTCGGGCAGAACCTCCTCCCGTCGGGCAGGTGCACATCTCGTCGGGCAGCACAACGTGCCTTCCACACGTTCTCCGTGTGCTCCCCTCCGTGGGGACACGTCATCCACCAACTGCCCATCTCCGAAAGAGCAGGTCAAACCCACTTTTCGGAGATCACAGAGTAGTTGGACTAGGGCGAAGACCACATTTCGGTCTTCACTACGCCACGTAAGCCCTAGTAGTCATTTGGATTGGGTCTGGCCATCCAGCCCAACTCAAATGACCGTTGGCCCAGCGCTGGGGTCTCTCTATAAATACCATCTTCCCCAAGAGGGCCAGGTATTCCATTCTTCTACCACTTTCTGTATTTGCTGTCACTCTGCCCAATTTCTCACTTTGACATCAGAGTGCCTTGCAGGTACACCCCATCCTCATCCTCCACACCGGTGAACAGGAAGCAGTCCAACGGAGCGTGGCCATCCAGTGATCCCCTTCTGATCAGGTCAGATCAATATATATATATATATATATATATATATATATATATATATATATATATATATATATATATATATATATATATATATATATATATATATATATATATATAAGATTAAATATATTGACCTTGCAATTTCAAAAATTAAAATATTTATTTGTTTAATTAGAAATTTAATTTTAGGTTGTCACACTGAAAATTTTATCCCATACTCTTACATTTAAATAATTGAACAAAAATACTCTTGTATAAATATTAAATAATTTAAAAATTTTCATTTTTTCCTCATTTCTTTTAGTCTAGAGCGTAAAAATTTCACAATTTTCTTTTGGCTTTCGAAAAACTCAGACAAATGATTTCTGGTTCACGATTTGCACTCCAAAGAACTTACTAGTAAGTTTTCTGATTTACCTTTTTTTATGTTTGTTCTACGGATAACTTGTGATGAAGTTATCCAGTTTGTATTTTATGCACTGGATAATTTAGAGTAAAGTTATTCGGAAAAAAAAAACGTTTTAGATAACTTGGAGTAAAGTTATCCGGAAGACAAAAAACCAAAACCGGAACACTTGTACATAAGTTATTCGAAACGTGTAAAATACAAATCGGAGAACTTATGAATGTGTTCTCCGGAACGTATTATATGAACCGGATAACTCTCTTACAAGTTATCGGTTTGTTAAATTATACAACCGAATTTCTTCTACGTGCGTTTTCCGATTTGTAAATAATACATTATGGATTTCATTACCTAATATTATCCGGTTGGCGTCGTATACTTTCCAAAAACCACTTTTTTGACTGCATAGTAAAAAGTAAAAAAAAAAATTGAAAAGGATAATTTTGAAATATTTAGAAAATTGTAGGGGTATGTGGATAAGTGTGGGGGTATGGGGTAAAATTTTCTGCCACGCCCCATTTTATTCTAAGCCCACCTAAAAAAAGACGGGATGGGTAAGCCCGCCAAGTAAATTGTGATTAAAAATCTAACCCGCACCACCAAGGTGACGGATTGGCGAGTGGCGAACTTGTCCGTCTATTTTTTTTATCTTTTATTTTTTTAATAGATTAATAGACTTATTTTTAATTTTAATTAGATTTTTTATTTACTTTTTAGAACAATTTTTTATAAAACATTTTTTAACAAATTTTATTTATAAAAATATTGCATATACTCAAAAAAAGTAGAAAATAGAATCATTAACGAGTGTTTTAAAACTATAGTTCAAGTATTAACCTTTAATCAAAATAGATAACTATTTTGAGTGTTTGATAATTAGACTGGCTAACTGGTGGGTCAACCCACCCCTTTTTTTAGTGGACTTAAGGCGGGGCGGACTGAATGGGTAGGCGGACACAAAATCTCAACTCAACCCACCATTTTTTAGCGGGTGTGCGACCCGGCCCGACGAGTCACAACCTGTTTTGCCACCCCTAATTGCACAAATGAGAGTATATGATGAAATTTAATGTTTTTAAAAATAATAGTATATATTTTACACGTTTTTATAAATTTTAATTTTGAAAATAGTAAAAAAAAATTATATTTAATAAAAATCTTATATTTTTGAAAATTTAAGACGAGTAACTCGGTGACTTTATCTCGATTGTAATTTTTTTGAGCAAATAAAAATATCATAAATGAAAAAAAAAGTATAAAAAATTGAGAGACATGAATCTGACCAAGCAAAAGAGGTGGAAAAATGGGTCTACCCCGTTGGACATTACCGTTTTCATATTTTTTTCATAGAGCAGATTAAGGTTTTAAACCCTTCCAGTATAATATGCTCGCTCTGGTCCGTTTTGTTTTATTGGACTTTTGCGTGCGTGGATATTAACATAATTTTTTTGCAATTTTTAGACTAAAAATGCAATGCCTTCGAATCCACTCCATCCCACATTCATTATTTTGCAGAGAAGACTAATATTGTAAGCATGTGCTCTATACAATGTCTACTATGTCCCGTGTTTTTGTGTGGCGAGATAAAACAGACAAACATGCCCGCTTGCCAACCCTACTAAGTAAGCACATTTCAGCCTTAAATAGGTAATATAACAATGAAAAGCAAAAGTGGTATATAAAAACAAACTGAAAATAAATTCAGTAAATAGCCAAATGCGAAGTAGTTAGATATACACAAAAATACAATCTAGTGAACCTATAGTGTGACCCAAAACTAAATTGCAAAAGAAATGTGTAAAAAATTGTGAGCATTCTAAATGAGCTAGAGACAAGCTTGAATAATCAAACTCATCTTTTGAAGAATGGTGAATATACCAACTGCCAACTCAGACAAATACACATGCCTATAACCCCTATGAAATACACCATAACGAGCTTAACAATCCTTTCAAGTCTACCCAACCTAGATTACAATGAGCTAGTTCAAAGACATCTTATTAGCCAATAGAAGATCACAACAGCGACGATAGTTTAACCACCACAAAACCACTGGCGCGACATCAAAAACCCAATCATCCTGAAAACTACAAATCTCAGTAGATATGGAAAGAACCAGAGATCAAAGTAAAAAAAAATCCTCCAAAACACCAACGAGTTGTAGCATGAGAACAACAACAATATGAGTCGTAGCAAAACCACAGAAAACAAGCCTAACCTCTACAACAAAAAAACAAAGCGACGCCGAACTAGCCGTCGAAAATGTCATTGGAACCAAACGCTGGTGAACCAAAAACGACCATTGAAAAGGACGACGAAATTCACCGTTGAGGAGAACTCACCTAAACACTTTCCCAACCAGCGACAGAAACCCCACCACACTAATTAACAGAACTAACACTCTCTGCGGTGAACTTTGCACAAAGATCTTTGCACAAGAGCTTAGAAAAGAACAAATGGGGTTAAAGGTGGAAGAGTTAGAGAATGGATATTGTGCCACCAAAATCAATAGCTACATCCTTGGACCAATTATTTGGATTCAGAGAAAAATAAGAAGGGAGTTGGTTGACTTAGAGAGAAGACATAGGAGAAGAAAAAGAAGATGGAGAAGAAGTTTCGTGGATCCTTAACCAACTTATTGTCGATCATAATTAGGACTAGACTAAGATTCATTTAATATTGACTTCACTTTGAGGATTAATACCAAGAGTTCACAATATGCTACTTAAGTTATAAATTCAACAATTTTTCAATTCATTTCGGTAAAACGCGAAAGGTCAATAAAAGTCTACGTTTGATATTGTATTTTGAATGATTTGAGCATCTACACGATAAATTGAAAAACAGTTTAATATTATCTCATTTAATGAACTTCTATTAGCCTAAATAGTCAATCATCACATGATTTAAAGATCAAATAGTAGTTCATTAGGCTGAGAATCTCTCAACTACCTCAACAAATTTTACTCATTTTTTCTATAAACTTAGTCATAAAAAACTCTTTGGGCCATGGGCCAAGATCCACTTTAGCTCAACGACCTTAAAACATTAGTCTCTTATTCCATCATAATAACTAAGTTCACAAAAGACAAATCTAAGTTAAACCGAATAAAACATGCGATTATATTTGTTTCAACAAGTGGCAACTTCCATTTCATTGACTAAGCTATTTCCTCATTAAATCAACCATTTATTACCTCTTAACTTGTCTATCTATAATCCTATAACTAGCGTGGACTTTGTCCTATCAACAAAACACTTATTCTAAATTGAAGACTTTTTCATAATTTCATTCACACCCTTTTCTTCATTCCCTGTTTTCCTCTCATCACTATTATTGTTCCTCCCAAAGGACATAACATAACATAACACAGAGAGAAGAAAAGAAAAACACTTTCATCATGGGAAACTGTTTCAGAAAACCTGTTTGTCATGTCTCTTCCACAAGTTTATTTGGTCAGTTTTTGATTCTTTTCACTTGTTTCCTCTTAGGTGACACTATGTGTTTGTGTTTTTTTTTCCCTTTTGTTTGTTTTTGTTTCTTAACTTTACTGTTAGTGCTATTAAGGTTGATGTTTGCCACTTCCTTTAAAACTTGCTTGATAAGAAAAATAGAGATTTTGAAGCTTTTTATTTGATATGCTCAAAAAATCAGGGCGATAGGCAGTGTTAACAGAATTTAACCGACCAATTCAATCTGATTGAATTGGTCGGTTATGTTGTCAACACTGTCTACCACTATAACCAGAAATCACCTGATTATTGGTTGGTTCTTGCTCCCTTAGGACCGGTTTGAACCAAAATTCAACTGAATTTGGTTCATCTAATTTTTCTTCTCTTTTTTCTTGAACTTACATTTCATATACTCTTTCAGGAAGTACAAAGACTCAAAGTAAGACAACGCAGACTTCGAATTCTAATATGGACACTTCATTGTCGATTGACGAGAAATCCATCTCTAATGATGTTAAGTCCTTCAGCTTCAATGATCTAAAGGAGGCGACAAGGAACTTCCGGCAAGAAAATCTGATCGGCGAGGGAGGGTTTGGATTTGTCTACAAAGGATGGATAGATGAGAATACCGGTGCTCCTACAAAACCAGGAAATGGAATTGTTGTGGCCATTAAGCAGCTTAAACCAGAAAGTTTTCAAGGTCACAAGGAATGGCTTGTAAGTTCAACATAAACACTTTGATCAAACTTTTCGTATTTTCTCAGTAGAAATCAAACTCGATACTTCGAAATCATCTACGCTAGCTTGCTATAGGTGTTGTCTGATTTTTCGTTGTTCTTGTTTGCAGGCGGAAGTGAATTATCTAGGCCAACTTCACCATGAAAATTTGGTGAAGCTTATTGGTTATTGTTCAGAAGGTAAAAACAGGCTTCTGGTTTACGAGTTTATGCAGAAAGGAAGTTTGGAGAATCACTTATTCAGAAGTAAGTAACGTTTTTGATTCGCAAAAGAATAAGTACTTTACATAATAGTATAAGTCTTCGAGTTTTCGTGCCAAGATGAGACATAGTTTCCTTTCGTATTCATTATTTTTTCGCCTCTTTCTGCAGAAGGTGTTCAACCGATTTCTTGGATAACAAGGATCAATATTGCGACCGGTGTTGCAAGAGGACTAGCATTCTTACATTCCCTTGACGCAAATGTTATTTATCGCGATTTAAAAGCTGCAAACATCCTACTTGATTCGGTACGTTACGCTCGTCAGAGAATACTATATCTGATGTTTTACATACTAGTCCACATTCTTAAAGAGTAGCTTGATATTTCCGCAGGATTTCAATGCTAATCTTTCGGATTTCGGCTTGGCAAGAGACGGTCCAACCGGAGATAACACTCACGTTTCAACTCGAATTATCGGAACACATGGTTATGCTGCCCCGGAATATGTAGCTACAGGTACATTAATAAAAAATAATCTTTTCATTATATATAATACGAAATATACAGAAATATCAGACATACAGACAACAAGCTGCACCACTACCCCTTTCGCTGTCGATGCTTTTTAAACATGACGAGCCTATCGTATTCCATGACATAACAAGCTATCTTTTGACTAACCAAATTATCAAACAGGTCATTTAACACTGAGGAGCGACGTATACAGCTTCGGCGTCGTCCTATTAGAGCTACTAACAGGACGACGTGTAGTCGACGACGATAGACCGGCATATTCGGAAGAAACGCTAGTGGATTGGGCAATGCCATTTCTGAGTGACAGCAGACGAATATTGAGAATCATGGATACAAAATTAGGCGGACAATACTCGAAGAAAGGAGCTCAAGTTGCAGCTGCACTTGTTCTAAAGTGTCTTCATACTGATCCTAAACATAGACCAACAATGGTTAATGTTTTAGCGGCATTGGAAGCATTACAATCCTCAAATTCTGTACCAAGGACACCAAAATCTAGAAATAATCATAATCATCATGCAACAAAGCATTCTAGTCATCATCATTCACATAAGTCAAATGCTAATAAGACTAGAAAACATTGAGATGATTTTCTCCATATGGATTAATGGTGATGCATATAGAGTAGTGGTTTGTTGTTTTATTTTGTAGTCATGTTGTTATTGAGAAGCATTACTTTGCTTAAGCAGCAACGTTGTTAGATGTCTTAGACAGTTATGGATGGAAATCTTAGACTTGTAATTTCAGTATATTAATTTAATTTATGGACATAGAGTTGCATAATATTTTAAATAATAACAATTTTTTTTATAACACTAGAACAGAATCTGTCACATCAAAACCAAACATGGACAAAATCATCATCACATCTTTGCAGGTTACTGATATCAGGTGTATTATGCCTTGTTTTCAACACAATTTTTTTTAGCCTTAAAATCTATTAGCTAGCCCTCTAAATATGGAAAGAAGATGAAAATGATAGGCTATAAAAGTTGCACAAAATAAATTCTAAAATTTGTGTTCACATTAAGTTTTATTCGATAAGGAGCACCATGAAGGACAAGGACAAGGTCAAGGAGGTTAATGAAGATGAAGATTGGACAAAGGTGTCATCTAGTCGAGCTTCGGGGAGAAATGGTGACAAATGAGACGCAGAAAGTTCAAAAAGGAGACATGCAGAATCAAACATTTCCACCTTCTTCTTAACTTCTTTTGTAGACAAGGTGAAAGCGGAAAATCTGTATGAAGTTCTCAAGGACCTAAGAGACATATATGAAGTGATAATCCCACCGAAATGAGAAAAGAGAGGAAACAAATACGATTTTGTTCGATTTTTCAACGTTGCCAGCAAAGTTGGATAGCACTTTCATTGAAGGTAGAATTTTTTTCCGAAAATCTACCCAGGTTCAAAGGAAGGAACCTTAGGTGAAGAGAATGGAGGTAAATAGAAAGGATAGAAAGGTGGAGAAGAATTATGGTGATCACAATGATCAATCCACGGGGTTTAGGGAATCGACATTGAAGATTTTTAAGCATCAAAGACACCAGGCTAGAGAAAGAAGATCGTTTACCGAGGTGATAAGCGGCAACGACTCTACTTTTCATCAGCCCAAACTGAAAGATGGTCATCTGATTCTCATGAACTTTACTCTGAATGAAGAGGAGATTTCTATATTCCAAAAAGGTTTTCATTGGAGTTGTGGTAAATCCTAGTCTAACTTATAGAATGCAAGATATCTTTCAATCGGAAGGATATTTTGCTTTGAAAGTAACTCCTTTGGGTGCAAATCATTGTTTATTGGAGGTGTTGTGAATCAGATGTCTTGAAATAAAGCGGTTTTTTTATGATCAAGAAACACATAAGGGTTAGGGTTAACAAAGAAGACAAGGTAAAACAACAAGGAACAACAAGGATTGGTTATTAAACTGTTATTCTTTTCTTTCTCTTAGAATAAGATTACAAGTATACAAGAATAATAAAATAACATCTCTCTCTTGAAATTAGAATTTTATCTTCCTATTTTACCTTATGTCAAGATTGAGAAACTAGCCTCCTATTTATAAGAAAAATAACACACTAACCTAATGGGCTTTTTAACAATTACTCATTACAAGCTAACTTAAGGTACAAACTAACTTAAACAATTGGGCTTACAAGCAAGACCCAATTCAACATGCTAACAACCCTAGCAATATTGATTAATGTATGTTAGAGCAAACTTCGACTACAACACACATTACTCGCGAACAGACTTCAACCATACTAGAGTTCGATCCAATATCTCACAAATCTCCACCTTGGATCTAACTCTATAACATCAAGAAACTATCTTTCTTCATGCAGCTTTATTAACTGCATACAGTGGAAAAACTTGCAACTGGGAACGTCTTGGTGATCATATCAGCAACATTATGATATGTCGAAACCTTGAGCACTTGGACTTCTCCACGCTCGATTACTCCTCTGACGAAATGCAGCATCACATCAATGTGCTTGGTTCGCTCATGATAGACTGAATTCTTCGACAGGTGTATTGCACTTTGACTATCACATTTAACAGTGATAACTCGACCTTAAAGTTTTAACTCCTTTGCAAAACCTTCAAGACACAATGCTTCCTTCGCAGCTTCAGTTAGGGCAATACACTCCGCTTCAGTGGTTAATAAGGCAACGACCTTCTGAAGTGTTGTTTTCCAACTGATTGTTGTCCCAAACATAGTGAACACATATCCAGAGATAGATTTTCTGGAATCCATACAACCTGCATAATCAGAGTCGACATATCCTTCAATTTCTGCTTTACTATCTTTACCCAAGGCTCCACCATAAATTAAGACTCTATTCAGAGACCCATTTATGTACCTTAAAATCCACTTCAATGCTTGCCAGTGAGCCTTTCCAGGATCCGCCATGTACCTGCTTACAAGACTTACTGCATATGTTATGTCGGGTCTAGTACATACCATAGCATACATCAAAGAACCTACTATGTTAGCATATGGAATGTTATTCATATAAGTTCTTTCAACATCAGTGCTGGGACACTAATCTATACTCAGCTTGAATTGAGGGTTTTTCGGAGTCACAACAGGCTTTGAATTCGATATACCAAATTTTTCGAGAACCTTCTGTAGGTATGCCTCTTAAGATAAGCATAATTTCGACTGCTTTCTATCTCTCCGGATGTCAATCCCAAGAATCCTGGACACAACTCCTAGATCCTTCATGTCGAACTCTTTATTGAGTTCAGCCTTCACCCCTATTACATCTTCGACATTGTTGCTTGCTATTAGAATATCATCCACATAGAGCAAAAAAATAACAAATGAATTACATGGTCGAAATCTGAAGTAAACACAGTGGTCGAACTGACTTCTGATGAAATTTATGCGTGCCATGAACTTGTTGAATCTATTATTCCACTGTCGAGGAGGTTGTTTCAGTCCATATAAGGATCTATTCAGCTTGCACACATAATCTTCCTTCCCTTTTTCGACATACCCTTCAGGTTGCCTCATCAGGATTGTTTCATCTAAGTCACCATGCAAGAAAACAGTCTTCAAATCCATCTATTCCAATTCAAGGTCGAACTGTGTCACTGTGGCAAGCAACATTCGAATGGATCTGTGCTTCACAACAGGAGAGAACACATCATTGAAGTCGATACCTTCTTTCTGAGTGAACCCCATAGCAACCAATATTTCCTTGTATCTCTTCGACGTCACTCCTTCGATTCCTTCCTTAATATTGAAAATCCATTTACAGCTGACTAACCTGGCTCCAGCAGGTTTCTTGATCAGTTTCCAGGTGTTGTTATCATGAAGGGATTTCATCTCATCATCCATGGCCTTCAGACATCCAGTCTTCTTTTGACTCCTCATAACTTCCTTATAGTCTATAGGTTCTTCATCTAGAACCTCACTAGCAAAGATTAAGTCATAAACTATAAGATCTGCATACCCAAGTCTTTGAGATGGCTTGATGACTCTCCTCGACCTGTCTCTTGCTAGCAGGTAGTCATTATCAGTCTCCTCATCTTCTACAACATCTTATGCGTCTTCTTCGACTTCATCTGGGGTACGAAATTCAGTACCAACATGCTCCATCTCAACAAGAATCTCTCCCTATTCCAGCTCTTCGTCAGCATCATTAGTTTTCTTGAAAGTCACCTATGTTTCATTGAAAACTACATCTTGACTCATTATACACCTCCTGTGACCTAGCTCTAGGAACCATAGCCTATAAGCTTTGACTCCTTCAGAGTATCCCATGAACATGCATTTTAGAGCTCTAGGTTCGACCTTGTCTTGCCTAATGTGAGCATAGGCCACACAACCAAATACTCTCAGCCAGTCGAGACTAGGTGGATGTCCCGACCAAACTTCTTCAAGTGTCTTCATTCCCAAGGCAGTCGAGGGACATTTATTTATCAGGTAAGCTGCTGCCGAAACAGCTTCCGCTGAAAACACCTTCTTCAATCCAGCACTAGCCAACATGCATCTAACCCTTTCAAGGATTGTTCGATTGAATCTCTTAGCTAAGACATTTTGTTGAGAAGTACCTGCTACAATCTTATGCCTTGCAATCCCAGACTCAACACAGTAACTGTCGAACGCTTCGTTGCAGAATTCAAGGCCATTGTCAGTTCTTAACCTCTTAACCTTTCTGCTAGTTTGAGTTTCGACCAGAATCTTCCAACTTTTGAAATTTTCAAAAGTTTCATCCTTCGTCTTCTGAATGAATACCCATCGCTTTCTAGAATAGTCATCAACAATGGATAGAAAATACTTTGCACCTGAGTGTGAAGGATTCCTTGCAGGCCCCCAAAGATCAGCATGAATGTAATCCAGTGATTCATGTGTTCTTTGCTTGCCTTTGTTAAACTTCGTCCTATAGGATTTACCAAATACACAAGATTCACAAAACTCCAACTTTTCAACTTTGTCACCTCCTAATAGGTTATGCTTCCCCAATTCGACCAGACCTCTTTCGCTGACATAGCCCAATCTCATATGCCATAATTCTATCTTCGACACAGGTTTTGTGGATGCAACATTTGTCGAACCATTTACAACCTCAGCCTCAAGGGTATACAAGCCTTGTTTCTTCACTCATCTCAATACTTCCTTTGACCCCTTCATGACTCTTAGGATACTTTTCTCTCCTTGAAAAACATACCCCTTTCTGTCGAATTCACCAAGAGAAATCAAATTTCTCTTCAAGTCTGGTACATACCTAACTTCAGTCAATAACCTTATTGACTCATCATGGAGCTTGAATCTCACATATCCAATACCTATAATTTTGCAAGATTTGTTGTTTCCCAATAGCACAGAGCCACCATCTTGATCACATAGCTCCTTGAACAATTCTCTATTTGGAGTCATGTGCCAAATGCAACCTGAATCCATAATCCACTCTTTTCTCGATTCGCCACTTGAAACCACAAGAACATCAGATGAGTCAAAGTCATCTTGAACAATGACTGTGTTGCCATTACCTCCATGATCTTTTAGGCGTTCAAGGAACACCTTTCTTATGTGACCCTCCTTCTTACAGTGATAACATCGAATACCAGATGTT